ATCAAAGAGTCTATGCTAATCCTTTGGACATATTTCATAGGCTTTCTCAGTAGATAAAGTAGAAGTGTTATCTACATTACATGGATTGGAAATATGCAGAAACGTACAATATCTAAATGTGATTCTTGAATCAGATGCTATAAAATAATATTTAATTAGAAAATAATATTTAATTGAATTAAGATTTACTCCTCACATCCTCCTTGGGAATTTGCTTACTTAGTTACAAGACTCAAGTCGTGCAAATTCTATGCAATACTTGTACCTCAAGCCTGCCTATCTCAAGGACCTGTAAATTAGTTGCTTTTCTAATTGTCGACATGTTCAACTCAGGTTTAAGCAGTACTGGTGCTTTCAGAATTTTCATGATAAGCTATTGAGCTCTTTATGTACTTGTAATTATTTTACCTAGCTTAATATAATGAAGCTTTTTTTAAAAGAAAAACTTGCAAATGATGTAGTATGTCTTTTAAAGAAAATTGTAGGTTACACAATGCACATATTTAACAATTGCTTAATTAATAGTCCAAATGTATTAAAGAACAATTATCTAGCTTTTAGGGATTACTTGAAAATGGTAATCGCACACCTCATTTTGTATTGATTTTTTCTTTTAACTTTCTTTATGCTTAACCCCCTTCTGAATACTTAAAACACATCCTAAGAACTTGGTTGAGCCATAATCACTAGATTAAGTTTTGGATTTTCATTCTCATAATAAAATTCCACTCTTGAACTAACACTCCTCAATTCTAGTATCTATTATGCCTCGGTGGAAGAGCATCAATCCTCCTGCTTCTTCCCCTATCAGTTCTCTCTCTCGCGATCATCGTAAAGAATTTTCCTTCTTCAACTACGAGCCCGTTGCCTCTATCACTAACGATGTCTTCACTCAGCGTCACTTCACTTGGATGCAAAAGCTCAAATTTGGGCAGCTGATGCCGTTTATTTCTTGGACTCAATGAAGAGCAATACGTGATCTCAAAGTTATTTGTGTAGATACATGGACCCCAAGGTTACTTATATAATGACATCATACTATATGATACCAAAATGTAAAAGTCCTTTGATTTTAAGTTCAGATCACTAACAATAGGGAAAATGAAAGATATTCATCCAAATATTTGCCCTCAATAAGAAGCCCACAAGTGAAGCTCTAAAATATTCTTTGGATTGTCAAAAAAGTTTAAACTTTTTGCATTGTCATCTCGCTCTATTTAAGACTAGAAATATGAAGCAACCACTTTAAATTTGGAAACAATGTAGCATCAAAACTATTATCAGAAAGACTATGAGGACAACCGTCTTCAGAGATCTTGATCAAGTAATGTGTTAGAAGAAGAAAAAGGTAGACAATATCGAACGAGGATTGGATTAGTTAAAACCTACATTGCATGGGTACTCCTTTTTGGAGTCGTACTCGTGTCGTACCCGTATCTAACACCAAAACTTCAGTAGACACTCTTTTGATGTTTACATACACTTATTCAAATGTGCACTCAATTATATAATGCATGTTTTAATATAAAACACTCGTCTTATACTTCTTGAACGTATATCCTACATTTCACATATAGTTCTTGAAACTTGTTGTTGGATTCGTTTCAGGTCATATCCATTTTAAAACTTTGATTATAAAGGGTCTTTTGCATATCAAGTTAAAAAACTAGCAATTTTCTAGGTTATAGATAATAGATCTATATTATAAAAAGATATATAAATGTTATAGGATTTTATTTCGTAGCACGTAAAAATTGAAAAAGTAATATTGATCTCATGTAAATTATTATTAGGGTTAACTGCGAACAGACCCCTTGTAGTATCACCCAATTGCTAAGAGACCTCATGTAGTTCCATTTGTTGTGAATAGAGCTGTTGTAGTTTTACTTGTTACAAGTAGACCCCCTGTAGTATTGGCCCAAATGCGAATACACCCTCTTAATGAGCTTTTTTGACTCTTTTAAACATAAAAAAAGCAATTGGTTGTCTATTCTCACCAATAGTATTATAGGGGGTCTATGTGCCTCCTCAAACATTTTTAACAATTTTAATAGTATAAAAGAAATTTTCAGTCATGAGACCTATTTGCAATAAGTAGGGCTACATTGGTCTCTTTGCAACTATGTGATACTACATAGGGCCTGTTTGTAATTAACCCTTATTATATATACAATATGTGTACCCATATTCCCTTACCTACTTTTCACAAATTTGTTGTGTCATTTACCCACACCCACTCCCTTATCATTTATGTAGGTCAAAACTGATGAGGATTTTTACATTCAAGTACCTTGTAGTATGATGTAATTACCAACATCCAACAAGAACCCCATGTCGGCAAAGTACAAACGGTGTTAGTCTGCCTTCAGATTTTAGGCTGCAATGAAATAATGATGAGTACTCTGAGGGTTACCCGTTCATATACGCAAACCTCGAGATTGCCTATGTACTTATACCACAAGGTGATGGAATATAAAAATTCCCAACACCCAACTAGAACTTTACATAAGCAAAAAAGAAAAAAATAAATTAAGAAAAGGTGTGAATCTACTCCAGATTTTGGGCGCATTGAAATAATAATCAATAATCTCAGGGTTACTCATGTAGATACACAAACCTAGGTTCACTTGTATGGTTACATAGTACCACAAGATACGAGAATATAAAATATCCTATACTTGTACACACATACGTGTGTATATATGTAAGGAATAACATTTTTATGTTTATTGTCTGATTTAGATAATAATTTATGAAGTAGAAAACAACTCATCTTTAACCTGATACCCAGTGGCCCTATAAATTCATAGTATTGAACTTTGTATGGCTGTAGACAAACCAAACAAATGTTCGACGTGTTTCAAGAAGTGGACGTGTAGTGTTAGATATACACCTGAGAAATGTATGATGAGTGTTTTAAGTTTGAGCTTGTATTGTATTAATTGAGGGCATGTTGAATAAGTGTATGCATATATAGAAGAAGTACCTGGTGAAGTGTCGGTGTTCGGTCTGAGTATGACACAGTATGGCTTAATGATAGAAATATCCGTGCTACATAGTGCATGCATTCACATACTCATATTTATATGCATATTCTATTCATATACATATAGAAAGAGACGGAAAAAGAGATACTTGGCTGTTTTCATGAGGATTTGGATCCGAATCCTTCCCATTGGTTTGAGAACTTAATAGTTTCATACAAAATATCATTATGTCGTCTAAAGTGCTTAAAAACTAAAATTGCAAGTTATTTAAAAATCTTTTATCTAGGCCTTAACACAGTGAAAAATGAACAGCCTAAATAGTCTTGGTTATTTGAAGGGCATGAATGTTTGAGAGAAGGTTGTGTACTTGTGTGTAAGGGTTCTTAAGTGCTTAGATTATAGATCAATCATTTGCACCATCCTAAAGTGGGTGTAAGCAAAGCATTTTCAATCATCTTATTTACTTGATTTATGGGGGGAAAAGCAATCTAAAATAATTTATCTATATTTTTAGGAATTTTTAATGATACAGAGCACCTTTAATTTAGTGGAACATAAAAGTAGTGCCCCAGATCAGTATAGCCCTATACATGCACATATAAATGGAATAATGGATACACTAAAACATTCATATAGACATGCATGCACGATCCAAACATTTGGTCGTGAAATAGATATATATATATATATCTGTAGATGTTTTCGTACCTACATGTGTTTATGGATATAGATACTACTTTTAGTCTGATGTGAATACACATATGGATATAGGTAAAAGGTAGGATACATGAATGAATATCCTGTTGATTGAACAGCTAGCATATATTGATTTACATAAATAATAAACTTTAATTTGAAAGTTCAGCATATTTAGGCAGTTCTAATATCACATACCTATGCACTTTTCAGTGTCATCTGTTCTCATCCATATCCATATTCAACTCTGGTGGGGTTTTCTTTGTTTCTGTATCTATATCCATATCCGAGATAGTAAAAAAATGTAGATATAGGTCTCATAAGTCACATCCAATGTATATCTAATCTATTTGAATCTCTACAAACATTTGATAAAATTAATCTAAAACATCCTACGCATTAGTTTTTGTTCAATTTTGGATATTCTATGCCATTCAACTAGTCAATTTATTATTTAAAACCTGTCCATTTTTAGTTTAGTTTATACATTGGTCAGAAAACTTGAAAATGCTTGATTTTCGGTTCTTTAAGCATTTTAGATGGTGTAGGTCAATTGTAACAGAGTAGACACTGACGCCCACACGCGCACATATGTATAAATGTAGTGTGTATAAATGCCAGACAGAAAATTTACAGGACTTCAAGAACGAGAGTAATGAGATCAGTTGGAAATTTTTCTTTCCTGTTGATCTAGTTTAAGATATGAGATTGTATGTTGAATATTATATGCCACCATCAAATTATCATATTTCCACACACTGAAAAATGTTACACGAGAGTGATGAGATCAGTTGGAAATTTTTCTTTCCTGTTGTATATTGTTACATTGTCGTAGAGCATGTTTGGCAGATGTTCAATGTGAATTATAATCCATCTTTTGGATGTTTGACCAAGTAAGAGACAATTTTACTACTAATGATTTCACAAATTCTAAGCCCATTTATGATCTCACCCACCAAGGTCATTTTAAATGACAGCATTGATAGATTATAATCCACTCATTTACCAAACATGTAAAGTTTGAAAATGGATTATAATCAACTAAATTTTCCAAACACTTTGGATTATAATCCACAAATGGCTTATAGCCCAAGTGGATTATAATTAAATAGCTGTTTAGTTAAATGCAATAGCTTCTTCTTTTAGTTATGTATATCCTGCATTCATAATAAGCCTGACATGGTTATATTTCAAGTTTTTAACTGTTAATTATTATCATTAATCTGAATAAGTTTGCTGGTAATTTCTAATTGAAGTAGTTATGAAATAGTTTTACTTTGAAAGCTAGCACAGTGTTCTCAGTATTTGTTCTGGCAGGGACATTAAGGGAGCGAATTTGCTTGTTGATATTAATGGTGTTGTGAAGCTTGCAGACTTTGGGATGGCAAAACATGTGAGTACGACCTTTTGCATTAGTAGACGATGGCGATGCTTCTCGACTTGGATTATTTTCTCATTATTCTTCTATTGTCACTTCATTGGCATTAATGTCTCTGTTGATATTGTTTGCTCATTTTTGCACATATACTATATATTATACGTCTATAAAATTAAAATCTGACTCACTTTGTTGTTGTATGCCTTTCTGACTAATACAAGTTATGCATATGTAATGGACTAATAGCAAATAATAAGCAAATGTTTGTTTCTCTTCATATTATAGTTCAAGATTATTTTCAAATGAATAGTTAACGAGCTTCATCTCGTAAGCAAGAGAGAATTTAGTGCTCCACGTTGTTTATGTTTTGCATCCTCTTTGTTTATCCATCTTGGCTGTTGGTACATTCGCAAAGCAGGACTTTTCACTACTTAGTTTGGCCACCCCATTTACAGAACTGCTCAGATTTTTCGGCAAAAATTTTTGTTTAATGATTCCTATATATGTTGCAGAGCCCTTTGGCTGCCTGTTTGCTAATAAATACTTGTTTATTCTCAAAAGAATTGATAACTTCATGTATCTATGTGGATATTAATAAAATGATTCTCTTTTTCTTTACTGTTCAACTTTACAAGCATTACCTGACATAAAAGCTCCATCTCCTCTAAAGTGTGAACATAATATGTTGATTTTTTTCTGCCCTCTCATTTTCTTTTTCTTTCTTATTTGTGGGGTGAGAGTTTGATGGGGAACAAAGAATGATGGACAAGGATTTGCAGTCAGGAGCCTTTAGGTTTGTTGGATTTAAAGTCAGGGAGAAATAAGAAAAGTTTGTTTTGCTGTTTGATGTTTTGGTTGAAAACTGTAGTTGGAATTTTTTATCTTTTGTGGATTTGAAAGGTAGCAAAGTCAGGTGAGGCTTTGAAAGAATTTGGGCTTGTTTCTTGGGAGAGGTGTTTACATGAGGAGTAATTTGGATGAGGAGTTTTGGGTATTGAAGAAAAGGCAGTAATTTGCTACAGAGTTCACAGGTTGTCTTTGATGAGGCTTTTGTCTGCTAGTGAAATGGTGAGGGTTTCGATTTTTGTGAACAGAAAGAAACTGAAATAAGACTTGGAGACAAAAGAAAGATAAAAAGAAAGAATGTGGTTAGAAAGAGTAAAAAATAAAATTGGGTTGGACTGGTTTCAGCCACAACATCTACCCTGAAATGATGGCTTCACGAGTTCACGTATTGGCAAATCTCATGCCCACCATAGCAGATATCATTTTTTTAATTTACTTTTCAATAAATTCTTCATAAACTAACTACAATGAAAAATGTACCCATATTTATAGGGTTTAACATCCTATCCCTACTAAAATTCAAAATATAAATAAACTTCTAAATCTACTACAATTTAAAATCTAAACTCCATTCTAAAAGAATTAAAACTCAAAACTAAATCTGACAACTAAACTTGAATCTAACTTAATCAAATAAAAATCCTAATAAAATTCTAATATAAATTTTGATTTTTTTAACAACTCTATCTACTGATATCTTCATTGAATAAAGCCTTCTCTTAAATTTAGTCTTTCTAACCATTACACCAAAACTCCGAAATTTATGGTGAGGTTCGAGAATTATAGTTTTATATTAATTCTAACATGTCTCTGTAGGTTGATCGCCCTTTTTTATGGGCTGGAAACCTAGACTCATGCAATGGTAATAATTTTTTAAAATCCGCATTAAATTCGTATCTAGCAAGATTCAAACTTGGGTTGCTTTGATACCATCTTAAATTTAATCTCTCTAACCATTACACCAAAACTCCAAAGTTACGGCGAGGATTGAGAATTATAGATTTATATTAATTCTAACACCTTTAAATTTGTCCTGCATTAGAGTTGTATCAGGGTCAATGGGCAAGTAAGCAAGAAGAGACATAGGGTCTTGTACTATTAAAAGTTTGGATTTCATTCCTGTTTGTGTTTGTTCGTTGACACTACTAAAACTAGCCAATTAAATTTATTACAATGGGAGAGGTCATTTTACTTTTTCCATCACAATCTTGGAATAAATATTACTCTCAATCTGCATTGAACTGATGTGGAATTGGCTATGCAGTTAAGCGGGGCAGCTGGTGCTCTTTCATTGAAGGGAACTCCATATTGGATGGCACCTGAGGTAATTCCTTGTTTCTGTCACAACCTCAGCTGCTTGTGAAAATTTCATGCTATTTACTTTTCCTTCTCGTGGAAAATTTAGGTGGCAAGTTATTGGGCCAAAAATTTTACTTTGAACATTTCCATGTGCTTAATGTCCATATTCCTGTCTTCATCTTCTTTGCAGAAGGATAACTAACACAGTTATAGAGTTTTAACTAGTTAGATACTACTACAAGAAATCTGTGTTCAAATTCTCCTCCCATAAAACAGAGTACGCAAATAAAGAAAGCATTGCCTGATGGTACCAAATTTATGTAGGCCTTCCAGTCCAAATAGGAGTCCTAATATGTTGTTCTCACTCATCGTCCATACTTATTCCTGAAATTGTGTTCAGGTATCTGAAAGTATCACACAGGTTCTCTTCAGAAAAAAAAATACCTTGCTTTCGATGTTTATGTATCTCGGCATAAATAATTCTTCTACTTTCCTCCACGGACTGTGTCAGCTCCCACCTATCAGTTAAAAGATGTACAGGGAAAGCTCAAGTTGACTCCCTCTTTATGATTATATTAGGGGAACTCACCGTGCTAAATTCTAGGATGTGATCATTTCTCTTTAACAGTTTGTACCAGCCATGTATTTTTACTTTGTTAGAAAGTTGAGGCACTCTGAAGATCTTGAATGAGATATCTTTGTCATCGATTAGTACTCTTGCTACTGAATTTAACTGTACCCAGTTATCCCTATTATGGGGAGGAATAATCTGTTAAGTGGAATGCAGAAAACCATTAATTTTCCCTGTTTTTACTTTGAAGTTTTTATCGTCCTGTTAATTCTTTAACTAATTTTTTTTCTTAAATGCAGGTTGTCCAGGCTACTATGAATAAAGATGTTGGTTATGATTATGCTGTTGACATCTGGAGTTTGGGTTGTACGATTATTGAAATGTTCACAGGGAGGCATCCTTGGAGTGGACTCGAAGGGGTAATATTCACAGTTACTTGTCCAAATTTACCCAAAATATCTACATTTTTTCTTGAAGCTCTAATATGCTCCATATCATATAAATATTTGGATTCTTCTGTGGCATTCAGACAAGAGCATGCTATATGTGAGCGATCCTGGCCTCTAGCAGTAAACTGTGCATATCAAGTGAGGTTAAAGATTAAAATTTAAAAAGATAGCTAGATGTAAATACATTTTCATTTCTCTTCCCTCTGTGACAATATAAGTGATGTTGGGCAACCACCCTGTTTGTTAATTGTTATCATCGCTTTCTTCTGAGCTAGGTTAAAGATCAAATTAATTGGTAATTAGTTTATTCTTCATGCTTACTGATCTCACTAAAAATTCTTGTAATAAGCTTACGGTCAATGTTTAATAATAAATATTGTGCAAATCTTTTTGTTATGAGAAAATCATTTGGATCATACCAGCATATTGTTGTTTAGTCCATTCAGCCTTCCCTCTTAACATATCTAGCTTCCATGCAAAGTTTCTTGAAATAGGTCTACATAACTAAGAATTGAAAGGTAACTAGCTTTTTAATATGATATGGCCGAGCACAGCTTGTCAAGCTCCTTAAATAGATGCTTAGCTTCAGAGTGAAACTAGTTGTTTTTATGCTTATCTAACCATATAGAAGATTGAAGCTCACTTTACCTTTAGTTGAATTATTTAAAGGCTTATTGCGCAAATTGCGCCCTTTTTTTAACTTTGATGTCACAAAATTTTCCAACACTTGACTTTAGTACCCTTCAGCACTCAGTTGTTTATTCTTATGTTTAAATTATATAATGTGGTTAACACATGATACAATTAGGACAATTATACCACTATAATGAAAACTAATACCCCCTTGCCCCATCTCTTCGGCCTCTTGTTGTTTATTCTAAGCCCCTTCTTACCAGAGCCCCAGTTTTGTTGTTCACTTGTCTCAAATTCAAAAGGAAATTGCTAAGTCAATTGTTTCTCCTTCACTTCTCTATGTGATATCTTTAACAATTATACTCCTAATTAATGAAAATTTTTTGAAAGGGTGGTTTGATAATTAAGTTCCCTGTTATTTTTCCACGGTGGTAATGGAGGCGATATCAAACTTTGGGAGAAAGAAGAGGTATATTAAGTGAGGGTATTTCAGTCTTTTTAGGGCATCTCTGTTGACTTAACATAGTTAACGCCAACTAAAAGTCCATGGGGTATGAAATTGTCAAATTAGAATTTAAGGGTGTCAATGTTAGGAAAGGATGAAACTTTGGGGTATTAGTGTGAGTAAACCTTATTTAAATTCATATCACCGCGTTTAATATATCATATATTGTCTTATATCTAGGAAGGGAAATTATTGATATTGACCTAGGTAGCATGGACACAGACACAGGACATGACAAATTAGTAAATTGTAGGATACAGGGACATGATATATAATACACACACATGATCAAATATTGAACGAAAATACCAACATCATTTATATGTTTCTTTCTATTACTTATAACAATCAGGAATCAAGTTAAATCAAACAAAGAATAAGACTTAACAGCAAAAAGTTTAGTTTTGACCGCATGGGATAATGTCATAACACGATGGGTGTTTTGCAAATATTTAATTTAATGTATGTGTTTCAGTTTTCGGGTTTAAAAACAATTGGTTTTGAATTTGATATTACTAGAGAAACTAGTTTTGGGTATAAGTAATGAGAAAATTAGGTTTTTCTTTGAACCACAAGTGTCCACAGAGTGTTTGCTGAGAGCCGGTGTTGGACACGGACACTATACCCAAAATGAAGTGTCAGTGTTATGTAGATATTGACTGTTGTATATTGGTGTATCATTTATATGATGAAAAATACCTTACATTGGTCTTCATCACTTAATGAGTTTTTGTGTAGGTTACTCTTTTCCTGTTATAGTTGGGAAGAGCAAGAATTATCTTGTTGTAGAATGGGTTTTACTTGGCTATAAAAAAGGTATACCATATCTAGCAAAAAAAAGGATACAATACAAACATAAATGATAATAATCACAATTTTTGATGTGTGTGAAGTAGGTGAAATTTTAGGTATTACTTGGGCAAATTTAAACTTCAGAGTGTTATCTTAGAACTGGATGAAACTTTAGGTATTTATTTGCAAATTGCCCATTAAGCAAAGGACATGCCAACATAGCTGCAAAAAGAATATTGAGATGCACGAGTGGCAATAACCTAGATAGGATACAAAATAAGTGTGCTGGGGAAATTTGAAAGTAGCTTTAGGGTAAAACGAGAGTAGATATTGAGATGGTTTAAACAGTGTTATCGAGGCGCAAGGCGTAATGTGGGCCGCAAAGGCCCCATATGTGCACCATGCGCAAGGCGCACAACGATGCGCACGCCTCACTGAATTAAGACGCATAACTCAAACTAACATTTTCCAACATAAGACAAAAAAACATATAAGCAACATGTTTATAAATTGTAACATAAAAAAACTAAGAAATATAATTTCACATACTAAATCACGAAAAAGTCTTAATTAACATGCATAACATAGAAAAGTTAATGAGTTTTCACAAATCACAATACAAGATAATCTCCAATATAAGCAAAAATCTATGAAACAAAACAAACAAGTAACAAATAAGAAATATGTATTTTCATTTAAAATTGATATATGTATTTTTAAGTAACAATTAAATGATTAACAAACATGACTGTTCATAATTTTCTAGTTAGCATTCTTAATTGCTATTTGCTAGTTAGCATGAAAAGATGGAGAATGAAGATAACAATTACATATTTACATGTTCATAATTTCTGGTTAGCATGCTAATTAGAAAAGGAAGTTATTGTTAGCAAACAAGTATATTAAATTATTAATTACTATTTCTTTTTTATAGGGTAAACATGAAAAGATAGAGAATGGATTAACAACTAGCAAGAAAGAGTCTATTACATGATGTAAATATGTAATATGTAAATTATTTTAAAAAAATAGAAAAAAAGTATTACATGATGCAAGTGTCAAGTGCACATAAGACGTGAGCGGGGCGCATAAGAGACGCACACGAGGCGCGTGCCTCGTGTGCGTGCAATGCCCCGCTTCTGGTGCGGGGCGTAATTGCCCCAATCCGCAGCGCCTCGCGCCCGGGGAGCGCCCGAGGTGCGCGCCTCGATAACACTGGGTTTAAATAAGGTGTAACAGAGTGATAAGGATTGGGATATATCGAAGCAAAACATAATTAAGGGAGTAACAAAGGATATGATAATTCTTATTTAATTCATCCAAGCTGATTGGAGATATGGCATTCATGTAGCCAATCTTGAAAAGTTTGGATAAAGGCTTATTTGTTGTCACTATGATTGACAATAGGGAAGTTTGGTGTAAAAACATGTCTATCTAATTTTCTTCTTGCGTAAATAAAATCTAAATTTTTATTCTAAATCGTAAATTTTTTCTCAGTACTTGTCAGACTTCTGCTTTGTTGGTGAAGTGCCTCACATTTGATAGGCAACGCCTTTTGCGCCTTGCAAGCGTTGGTGAAGTGCCTCACATTTGATAGGCAACGCCTTTTGCGCCTTGCAAACGCCCTACGTTTCTCACTGTTAGGGCTGAGCACGGTTCGGTCTAAACTAAAAAAACCGACCGAACTGACCCGAACAGACCCGAAAAAATCGGTTTTAAGAGTAGGGTGGTTCGGATCGAGTTGAAAACTTTTCGACCCGAACCGACCGAATACCCCATGGTCTAAATACTCATTTTGCTCAAACCCGACCCGTCCCCAAAGACAAAGTCTCAGACTCTCAAACCCTAAACACCTAAACTTTCCTTTCCTTTTTCCCAGCCGCCTCCTCAGTTCCTCTCTCTCTCTCTCCTCAGTCCTCAGTTCCACGGTCCACCTCTCACTTCCTGTTCTTCTTCCTCACTTCTGCAGTCGTCATGGCTGAGGCCGAAACATCTCCTCAGGCTCAGGATTTATCTCCGGCTTTGGGGGTACACCCGTACCCGTCGCCGAGGCTGAGGTATTAACTTTATCTTTTGCTCTTCTTCAAGCTTCTGACTGCGATTATTCTTTAATTTTAATTTATTTCCTTGGATACAGCAGTTAGTAAGTTGAGATATCGGCTTATCAGTTTCCTGTTCATTTATGCACTCCTATTCTGTTATGATTTCTGAGTTTGTGCTTTGATAACGATCCTTAATTTATTTTTTGGTAAATATGTTTTCATGGATGATGATTTTGTTCCTTTTTCCCCCCTCTTGTTTTTCCAAATTAAGTCGGCAACCCCTGAAATACTACTATTTAATATTCATGGTATCCCTTACCCGTCACGATATATTCTATTTGATTTAGCATTTGGCAAGTCTACTGTTTAAGTCATTCTGAAAATGAAGTTAGAACCGAACAAACCGAACCGTACCAAACCGACTTGCAACGGTTCGGTTCAGTTTTGAATTATATGCGGTTCGGTTCGGTTCGGTTCAAAATTTGGTAAAAACCGACCCGAACCGAACCATGCTCAGCCCTACTGGGCGTAGCAAGGCATAGCCTTGTATGTTTTTATTCTTTAACATTTCAATTGGATTTTTAACTGTAGTAGCCCAATCCAGGACCCTAAATAACAAGGATTTTAATAGAGTCACGCCTATGGAAATGAGGTGGTTTGTATCATAGATAGAAGAAGTAATATTCTCAAACTGACCCCCAATCACCCATGAATGGTATGGATCACCGATGTTCGGATAGAACCTGCACTCTTTGATTTTGTTTCAATAATATATAGTCTTTATTTGACTTTTAATTTGGAAAATTAAGAGCTTTTCTACTATGTTGAATGTGTTAACATTATGAATCAAAACCTTTTTTTATTTGGTAGTAGATATTATTTGACATATTTTTATGTGAAAATTCATAAACACATTATTTCATGCTTGATTATCTATCTTAAACAATTATGTGGTGTGCGCCTCGCTTCACTCGGGCGCACACTTCACATTGCGCCTTGCGGCATGTGCACATAAAGGGACTTTCCACCCCGCGTTGCATATTGCGCATTGAGAACACTGAACTCTAAATTTTCCCCCAACTACTCATGAAGTCGTCCTTGATCCTGAGGTGTGATGCTCTCTTGCGCTTCCTTCTCTTTACTTTTTTTAATAGAAACTTCCTTCTTGTTGCTGATATCTGCTGTTTTGCTGCTTTTGTACCTTGGAGATTTGTAAGGTAGTTGCTTTTCCTACACTTTTTCTAAATGGACAGATAATTGTGTATCCTTTCCTTTTGGGTTACAGTACTTTCTCCAGAAGGCCATCTGTTGTCTTCTTGTATGGAAGAAACTTGTATTATTTTGTTATGAATTCTCTCAAAAACCATAATGAATTTCTAATTTCTGGGAGGATCAAATAGCATTGTGGTTTTTTCTTCTGAAATTTTATACTTTTGGAGGTTATAATAAACCATGGTTCTATTAGCACCCGACTCATATGATTTAGGCATTAGAATTAAATAATGTTTCGTCTGGGTGGCCTTTGCTTGAGTAAAAACTGAAAACAAGCAATTTTAGTTTGCTAAATTCAGGGAAGGTTGTGCATTTGGCGAAAGAAAATTGTTTGACATTGGCAAATCAAGTTTCTGTCTCATAGCAAATCTAAGCAGTTTTTATATGAGCAAGAAATTGAGTGTCAACTTCCTAGAGACTCTTTGTTCTCCTTTTATTCTTTTGATAACTAGGGTTTGTATTCCTCTTTTTTGGTTCACACCTATGCTGTTATCACTAAAGCAAGCTAATCTGATATTATGTTATTCTTAATGACTACAGGCTGCAGCCATGTTTAAAGTCCTGCATAAAGACCCCACCATACCAGATACATTATCCTCTGAGGGCAAGGATTTTCTGAGACGATGCTTTTGTAGGAATCCAGCAGAGAGGCCAACAGCACTGAAGTTGCTTGATCACCCTTTCATACGAAATTCACATCACCACAGGGTTCATGGTTCTATTCAGGCTTTTGCAGGGATCAAAATCATTAAAGTATTCTCTCTCTCTCTCTCCCTCTCTCTCTCTCTCTCTCTCTCTCTCTCTCTCTCTCTCTCCTTTTTCACCTTTTTCTCACAAATGCTTTGAAGAACTATATCTTACATAACTCATTACAGGATGACCCTTATAGCCCAGGGGACCGGACAAAAGCGAAAAGTGAAACAAGTCTGAAAGGGAAACATTTACCGAACGGGTAAGTTGTCAGGGTTATTGTCATACTAAACATTACCGAGGAGAAAATTCCATGATTGAAGCTGATCTTTAGTAGTATTATGTTATCAGTGAGGCCATCCACTCCCATCCAGAAACTTCTGAATCGGCATCATCACGAATCTCTCATCAGTCAATGCCTGAGGTTCCTACCTTATTTTCCCATGCAAATCATTCAATGCTTAGTCCTTCTGGCTTGTCACACATTTCAAATGGGATGCCTTCAGCTATCGGAAATCATCAGCCGTATGCACTACCTAAGCCTACTGGAAAGGAAGTTCTCAATCTTTTCTGACATTGACGGGAGACTTGTAGCATAGCAACACCAAGAGAACAGCAGAACATACAGCGAACCGTTCTGGTTTCATTTGGGGGGCTGAGTTGTAGATTATAGTGTTTTTCTATCAATATTCCCACCGGTCATACATGTGCCTTAGCTATTTGAAGCCTAAATAGCACAACCACGATAATACACGATACGAGGGGGGCTGTTGTAGATGTTTTTGCCCGAGCTACTTATGGATGAGGGGATAACAGGAGCTTTTTGTATATTGTCATTGTTGTACACTTGTTTGTAAGTTGAGCTTCATGAAGGGTTGAAGTTCTCTGTTTCAGGGTTCAATTTCTATTAGAAATTATATGTTGTAGCTGTCGAGATTCATTATAGTAGAAGCCTTTTTCCTTTATCGTGCTGTATTGTAGTACTGCTTTTACTAACTTTGCTTGTACGCATTTTTTTTGTTACGTTTGGCCTTTTGAATGTATGAAAGAAGGTTGTAAATTGTAAAGCACATGACCTCGCCATTCGAAATGGTACGAGGGTATTGTTTTTAAGTGTTTCACGTTTCGTTGCTGAGGCCCCAAGTGTTTCATGTGTCTTTGCTGAGGCACCCTTAGCACCAAAGTACTTTCATCTTTGCCTGCATTTATTTTCCTGTACGATTGCACTTTCGATGTGGACTGTTATGTTGGAGTGGCGATGTTTTCTGACACCAGACAATAATTTTACTCGTCTGAACAGGGTATATTGTTATGTGGAGAATTTTTTGAAAAAGACCCATTTTAGAAAATATTTAGTAAAAATGATCTTTTTATTAAATATTTAGCAAAGTCGACATTTTTTTTGCCAGCCCACCAAGGCTTGCCAAAAAGAGGTTAATTTTTCAACATGTGGACTTGAAAAAGCATAGGACTGTTAGTCCCGTGTGTTTAACACTGGTTAATCAGCTACTAAATACACTGCAAAAATCTCATGGCACTAGTAGTTTCGTTAATTTTATTATGCAGTAGTAGAAAGCAAACGCGACTACTAATCCTGTGGGTTTTATGAACAGTCTCAGAAAACACACGGGATTAGTAGCCCCGTCTGTGTTTTACAGAGAGCCACAAATATGCATGAAAATGCACGGTTCTATTCTAACTTATATCTTGAGTATTTACAATATTTCATCATACAAAATATTTAAATCCACCTCATATACATATCTAAATAGTATAATCCTTATATAACTTATAAATTTTAAGAAATATTCATAACTTAAAACATATATAATTAATCCAAAACATCACAACACAATAGATAACATTCCACAACAACACATTATATATTTATACGCCAAAATATTACCACAAATTCAAATATATCAAGTATATTTATTTATAAATAGAGTCCATGTAGAAAATCCATTAAATTGTCACATACAATCTAAAAGTCCGCCCCTTCTCCATTGTCTTCCTCTTCGTACCCGTTCAGATCGTCGTCATCCTCCATCGACTTGAGCTCGTACAAGCTCGCTCTTCGGTTGCGTGTGTGGCTGTGACGGATAAGCTTCATTGTCATGCGTACAAGATCCATCTCGTCTTTGTCTATTTGGTTGGCGTGCATATAAGAGATCATCCTCCTGCACCATCTCCTCGTGACCATCATGAAGATCCTCTTGAGTTCAATGAAAAGCTCTACGAACCCTCTGCACTATCTGCTGATAAAGAGATGCATGTACAAAATATGCTCCTACGATAGAAAGTGCTAGGTCCTCATTTGTAATGCCCTCAATATAGATCATAACATCTATCTGCAATTACATAAAAATGTATATATAAGCAAATTATAGTAATACCAAATAAAGACATCTAGATTATTGTGCCACTAAAGCAAGTATTTCTTGCTTAAATATCACCTTTCTATGACTTTATTTTATTTATAATATAATTACAATCCATATTTGTCCATGAGTAATTGTATTTTGTATCTGGAAAGGTTCCTTCACATTGATTAAGTTGCTAAGTATCTACAAACCCCTGAAGCTTAATCTATAAACATTGAATTAATATAACCTAGCTTTAAGAATGTTGCATGGATTTAAAAAAATTAGCAAGGGATGAAAAACTATTTGCAATTACGTTGAAAAGGTATAT